AATCACTAGTATAACGATAACATGATGGAAAAAACTTATTATTTTTTTATAAAATCTGATAATAAATTACACAAATGATATATTAAAAATTATATTTATATTTATATAATTAATTTAGAATTTTTTACACTTTGAGAACAACTGCTGCCACCTGTCACCAACTTCACGAAACCAGCAAAAAATGACAGATGTCACATTTGACAGTTGACAACTCATCACAATTTGTAAAATATATATATTAAATTTATTTATTTAAATAATATTATTAAATATATATTATACATATAATAGGTATATATTAAAAACATTAGTTATAAATTTTATTTTAATATATGTGATATAGTTGTAAATTAATTGTTGCGTTGGTGTAAATTAATTGTGCAAAATTTTGAGGTTAACTTGATAACTAACTTGAAATATTTATTGTTGTATTAATATTTATTTATAATTATTTATTATTGTTGTTAAGAAAAGAATTGTTTAAATTATTTAAATTGTTAAAGTGATTTTTAATAAATTAAAATGGTTGTTGAAGACGAAGAAGTCGTGCAGATTCAAAAAGAATTAGTTGATTTAAACATAGGTGTTAAAGCTATTATACAAGTAAGTGTAATTTATAATATACTAAGCATCTATTAACTTACCTTGTTTTAATATATAAATCAATATTTATTTTCCAGGATATGTTACTGTTAAAAACATCCACCCAGACTTTACAAGAATTAAACAGCGAAGGCAGAGCTAAAATTAACGGCATCAAAATTTGTATAGAAAATTTATATAAACTTGCCAAACAAAATGCAGATTCACAACTCATGAGCGATGTCGAGACACACAGAAACGAACTGACAACGTAATTAAATACAAAAACAAATTCAAACATATAAATATTCAAACTTATAAACTAATATATCTACTTACTTATTATTTCCTTTAGTACTCTCAAAGATTTCCGTCGTTCCAACATAATAGCAATGTCTGCAATCGAGAAATCCAAAAAGGATGAGCTCTTGAGTGCAGATGGCGACGATGACACGTCTTCAGGGCTTCCCAAGAAATCCCAAGTTAGGAAAAGGAATACAGTCGATAAAGGAAATATTGTTAAAATGTCTTCTAATGTTACGGATAGACTGTTGTCGATTAGTAGACATCTGGCACAGACCACCGAGAGGAGTGCCACACTTTGGAGACTTTGGCTATGTCTTCGTCTAACGTCTGGGTAGGTAGATGTTGATAAAATTGATACATTATGTTAGTTTATAAGTGTATGTAGTTGCTGTAGAGACTTTAGGTGTTCAGAAATGTTGTAGATTATTAAATTTTGTACAAATTTGTTGAATGTTGCATTTGAATCGGACAAGTCGTTTAGAAGTTACAAGAGATAATAAATAAATGATGGGTCAAATAAAGAGTCGAAACGTTGTGACGTCAAATTAGTCGTGTGGGGTATCATTATTTAATTTTCTACAAATTTGTCGAATATTTCATTTAAATTGGACAAGCCGTTTAGAAATTACAAGACTTTTAATAAATAAATGCATCCATGATGGGTCGAATAAAAGGTCAAAACGTTGTGGCGTCAAATTAGTTGTGTGGGAATTTAAAAGAAAGATAATTTTCATTTTCAAAATATACCGAGTTGCTGTAGGGTCATATGATGTTAGACAATGTTGCAGATTATTTAATTTTATACAAATTTGCCGAATATTGCATTTAAATTCGTCAAGGCGTTTAGAAGTTACATGAGATTTTATGAATAATTGCACTGAACACATATACAGTGATGGGTCGAATTAAGGTTCAAAACGTCGTGAAGTCAAATGCGTCGTGTGGGGTATCATTTAAAAGATCTCGACTCCAATTCATATGTAAAATTGATGAATATGATAAAACAATCGGATTCCATACTATACATGTTTTCCTATACGCGATACGTATGTGTATTTTATTTTAGTTAAGATTTTAAAGTATATCGAGTTGCTGTAGGGCTTTATGATGTAAGACAATGTTGTAGATTATTTAATTTTCTACAAATTTGTCGAATATTTCATTCAAATTGGACAAACCGTTTAGAAGTTACAAGAGATTTAATAAATAATTGCACTGAACACATATACAGTGATGGGTTGAATTAAGGTTCAAAACGTCGTGACGTTACACATGTTGTGTAGGGTATCATTTGAAAGGTCTCGACGGACTGAATTCAAATATCTTTATGACGGATTTGAGAAAACAATCGGGTTCCGTACCATACATGTTTCTCCATACGTGGCACAGTTTTTTTTATTTTAGCCAAGGTTTTTAAGTATATCGAGTTGATTTAGGTGGCTATTATATCAGACAACATTGTACATAATTTAATTTTCTACAAAATTGTCGAATATTTTATTTAAATCGAACAAGCCGTTTAGAAGTTACAAGAGATTTTATAAATAATTTCACTGTACTATACACAGTGCGATGGGTCAAATGAAGGGTCGAAACGTTGTCACATCAAGTAGGTCGTGTAGGGTATCATTTAAAAGGTCTCAACTGACTGAATGTAAATATCCTAATAACAGACCTGTAAAAACAATAAGATTTCGTACAGCACATGTTTCTAGATATGTTACATAAATTTTCTGTTTTAATTGCGATTTTAAAGTATACCGAGTTGCTCTAGAAATCTTGTTGTTCAGAAAATTTGTAGATTATTTAATTTCGTACAAATTTGCCAAATATTGCATTTAATTTGGACAAGCCGTTTAGAAGTTACAAGACTTAATAAATAAATGCACCATATGATGGGTCGAATAAGGGGTCGAAACGTTTCGTATCATATTAGTCGTGTGAGGTATCATTTAAAAGGTCTCGACAGACTGAATACAAATATCACATTTATAGATTTGTAAAAACAATAACACATTATTCTAGATATGTAACAAAAATTTTCTGTTTTAATTGCCATTTTAACGTATACCGAGTTGCTTTAGAAATTTTTGTTGTTTAGAAAATCTGTAGGTTATTTAATTTTCTACAAATTTGTTGAATATTGCATTTAAATCAGACAAACCGTTTAGAAGTTACAACAGATAATAAATAAATGCACCAGTATGATGGGTCGAATAAGGTGTCGAAACGTCTTGACGTCAAATTAGTCGTGTGGGGTATCATTTGAAAGGTCTCGACAAGCTCTATAAAAATATAGTACCGAGAATAATTTACAACGACCATTTCTATTTTCAAAGTATACCGAATTGCCGTATGGACCTATAATACTAGGCAATATTGTAGATAACTTAAATTTACACAAATTTGTCGAATATTGCATTTAAATTAAACGAACCGTTTAGAAGTTACAGGACTTAATAGATAAATACACTTGTACGATGGGTAGAATAAAGGGTCGAAACGTTGTGACGTCACACGTGTCGTGTGGGGTATCATTTAAAAGGTCTCGACGACCCCAATTCAAATATAGTAGTGACTGACTTAAAAACCCAACAGGGTTCCGTACAACACATTATGATCTCAATAGTTTGTTTTGAATTTCGATTTCAAAGTATATAGAGTTGATGTAGGTCGCTATAGTGTTGGACAACATTGTACATATCTCAATTCTTTACAAATTTGTCGAATATTTCATTTGAATTGGACGAACCGTCTAGAAGTTACAATAGATTTTGTGAATAAATGCACTGGACTATATACTTTGCGATGGGTCGCAAATGAATAAGGGGTCGAAACGTTGTGACGTCACATATGTCGTGTGGGGTATCGTTTAAAAGGTCTCGACGACCCCAATTCAAATATAGTAGTTACGGACTTGTAAAACCCAACAGGGTTCCGTACAACACATAATAAGATTTTTTTTCAACTTGTGTAAATACATAACAGTGTTCAAGAATTATTTTCATGTACTATGTATAGTACAGTGTATCAAAATTGATAGATTTTAGACACTTGTGTAAGTATAAAAATGATTTTTTTCCTTATTGTATGTATTATTTTCTCTTCATTATTATTATTATTATTATTATTATTATTATTATTATTATTATTATTATTATTATATTATTATTATTATTAAATTAAATATGTTTTATTTTTCAGGGAACCCGTGACGAGTTAGAAAACACTTCAGCTACAATAGCTCAGTCTGGAAAGCTTTTAAAAAAATATGGGAGAAGAGAGTTTACTGATAAAATTTTAGTTTTCTTTGCATTTGCCTTTTTTGTTGCCTGTGTACTGTATATAGTACAGAAGAGGCTGTTTTGAAATAAATAGATAAATATTTATTAAAATTGAATTGCGGACTATCTAAATGTTAATATCAAGAGCTAAAAATTCCAGAGAATTTTCTTTTATTACTTTGAAAACATTTGAGCCCTTGGGAGCAAAGAAATTCGACAAAATGCCCATATTAAGGACCACCTTAATATATATGTCTGTATGCCTGTGTATTTGTTATTATTGTTAATTTATACATTTAATATATTATAATATTTTTATACTGAATACGAAATCTTCTTTTTCTTCTTGTTTTATTTTATTTTTATTTTTCATCTCGTTAAAAATCTGAACGCATCTTCAGAACGAAACGAGTTCAGAATAATTAACATGGGAATGGCAATTCTTTTGTTTTAAATCGATTTCCGCATTTTTCGATGTGAATCATACTGGGAAAAAAATTAAAAAAAAATCCTTAAGGCAAGTTGCATGAACTACATTATACGTACACGTAATTATCCTTAAATAATATTCAGATATTTAGATAAAATTTATTAATAAAAAATAATCAATACAATTTCCAATCAACGTTTTTCAAAACATACTTATAATTGTATACTGTTAACTTCGTTTACTCGTTTATTGTCTCTAATGACACTCTCTATACAATATTCATCTCTATATGTCACTATTTGTCTCTCTCACATAATATACATTATTATTTTGTTATTTCATACATATGCCGTGCTATTTACGTCAACATAATTATCTTTTAATGCATTTATAGTAAGCGAGCTTAAAGAAGTTTTACTTCAAAAATTTTAGATTGTATTTTTTATTGCATGTTGGGTATTGTTTGAAAGGTCTTTTTGAATAGAATTCGAATACCGAAATAAACTGTGTGGTTTGTCTACAAAATGTACACTTTTTACGAATTTGTAGCTGTGGAGTCTAAAGAAGTTTACTTCAAAATTTTCAGATTGTATTTTTTATAGCAGGCGGGGTATGGTTTGAAAGGGCTTTTAGAATAAAATCCGAATACAAAAATTAACTGTATGATTTGCAGACAAATTATACGCTTTTTATTAATTTGTAGTAAACGAGCTTAAAGAAGTTTTACTTCAATAACATGTAGACTGTATCTTTTATGGCATGTTGGGTATCATTTTAAAGGTCTGTTTGAATAGAATCCGAATACTAAAATTAATTATGTGATTTTTTCTACAAAATATACGCTTTTTATTAATTCGTAGTAAACGAGTCTAAAGAAGTTTTACTTCAAAATTTTCAGAATGTATTTTTTATGCATGTGGGGTATCGTTTAAAAGGTCTCGACGAGTAGAAGACGATTTTTACAAAAAATTATTATATTGTGAAAAAATGTTATATCTAGAACCATATTTTATTGCCTAAAATGTTAGAATGCTAAAATTCATTAATTTTTTTTTTGAATATATGTAGTATAAAACTTTTGTAACTAATGCTAAAATTAATTAAACGATTTGTCAACAAAATATACGCTTTTTATTAATTTGTAGTTATCGAGCTTAAAGAAGTTTTACTTCAATAACATGTAGATTGTATCTTTTATAGCATGTATGGTATCGTTTAAAAGGTCTCGACGAGTAGAAAACGAAAAACATGATTATAGTGTAATGAAAATTTATATTGTAATAAAAACTGCACATTGTTGTATTGCAAAAAATATTAGAATGTTAAAATTTATTGATTTGTTTTAAGTATAAGATTTTTCTAGCGAATACTAAAATTAACTATGTGATTTATCCAAAAAATATACACTTTTTACAAATTTATAGCAGAAGAGTCTAAAGAAGTTTTACTTCAAAAATTTAGGATTGTATCTTTTATATAGCATGTGGGGTATCGTTTGAAAGGTCTTTTTGAATAGAATCCGAATACTGAAATGAACTTTGTGATTTATCCAAAAAAATATACACTTTTTACGAATTTTTAACTGAGGAGTCTAAGGAAGTTTTACTTCAATAACATATAGATTATTTCTTTTATGACATGTTGGGTATCGTTTAAAAGGTTTCGACGAGTAGAAGACGATTTTTACAAAAAAATGTTATATTGTGAAAAAATGTTCAATGTATAACCATCTTTCATAGTTTAAAATATTAGAATGTTAAAATTTATTTCTTCAAATATATGTGGAGTAAAGCTTTTGTAACTGATGCTAAAATTAACTATATATATGTGGATTAAGGATTATTCCCAAAATATACACTTTTTATTAATTTGTAGTAAACGAGCTTAAAGAAGTTTTACTTCAATAACTTGTAGATTGTATCTTTTATGGCATGTGGGGTATCGTTTAAAAGGTCTCGACGAGTAGAAAACGATTTTCACAAAATGATATAATTTTTTTGACTTACTGAACTTTTACACCAAATTCGGTCTCATTTGATTCAGAATAGCTTGAAACGTCGAGAAAGCGTGAAATTAGCAACTCGAATCTTCTTCACAATATAATTAATAATAAGTTTGGAAAAATCTTCAATATGCCGGTTCGTTCTTAAACTTCCTCTTAATTTTTTTTCTAATTAATCAATTAATTATCTACATACACTTCCGATCGACTTCCTGATACTTTCGATATTAATTGTTATTACTTTTTTTTAACAAAAGGGCTATTATTATATTCCTAAACTTGACCTCTGGCAGTTTTATTGTTACAACGAATGAGCGAAGGGCTTTTGCATTGTTCTTTAATAATTAAAAAATAAAAAAAAACAATTCATTATCGTTATCGATAATAATCGATACAAGGTTTGTAAACAGAAATTTATTTATTGATAAATCAGGCGTGACTGGAAACTTTTATTTATAATAATAAATCAATCAAATAATTCTATTTTTTATAACATTTTATTGAGAGACTATTTATCGATATTTTATTTTGTTTAATTATATATATATATATATATATATATTATATTTTGTTTAATTTTTCAAATTATTTGGATTTTATATTGTCATATTTTCATATAAAAATCGAAAAATTTTTTTTACGCCTGATAGTACAGCAAATTTTAGCTTTTCGACAGTTTTTATTACCAGAATAACATAGCGTTGTCATAACTTCTATTTTGTCCGAGAATTAGCTTCATATTTAGCATTGATATTTTATTTAATTTAAGTAACACTTCTTTAAGCGCGACTAGAGGGTACCTCGGCGAATTTGCAACGGAAATGCGTTACGCCAAAAATACTGGGCAAATCGTCTTTTTTCGAGTCGATTTCAAAATGTTGAGATTATGTCGTAAATCGTAATAGAAATCTAGACATTTAATTAGAATTTTACCACCATAATACGAATATTTTGAATTCATATATGATGTTATTATTTTACTTATTACATTTTTTTGTTATAATATTTTACTTAATTGCAAAAAAAGTTTTACTTCAATCGCATGCGTACCTTACGCGCACTGTTTTTTAATTTTGTGACTTGTTTTTTGAAAATCTATCCATATCTTCACGTTTCAGAGATTTCTGAACATTTTGGCATACCTCAGAAAAAATGGATCTGTGTGTGTACGGATACAAATTTTTCTGTCGACGATTTCGGGAGCACGGAACAACCGATTTGGATGAGTCATTTACCATTCGATTCCTATTGATAAGGAGATGTGCTGATTAGTTTTAGGCAAAGGCAGGTCCAGCCGTTACGGAGATACGGAGCTAAGTGCAGAAAATAGAAATCGGGTTTTTGAGAGAACGGAGTATCGGATTTGAATGATTCAAAAAACATTCAATTTGTTATGATTGGGTGAAGTATTGATTAGATTTTGGAAACGGCAGGTCCAACGATTTTGGAGATACAGAGCTAAATGTGCAAAAAATGGCAGTTTTTGAGAGAACTAAGCGTCCGATTTGAATGATTCAAAGAACATTCGATTCCTGTTGATAGGGAGATGTGCTGAATAGTTTTCGGCAAAGGCAGGTCCAGCCGTTACGGAGATACGGAGCAAAGAGTGCAGGAAATGGAAATCGAGTTTTTGAGAGAACAGAGTATCGGATTTGAATGATTCAAAAAACATTCAATTTGTAATGATGAGCAGATGTGGTGATTAGATTTTGATAAAGGCAGGTCCAGCGGTTTCGAAGATACAGAGCTAAATGTTGAAAAAATGGTTTCGTGAGAATTAAGCTAAAAACTTTTTTTTTTTTTTAATTATAATCTACTTTCCGGAAAATACTTTTTTTGAACGAAATTTTATTCGTTGTATATATCAGTTCGCTTACGGGAAGTTCCAGCAATACACGACTTATATAACTTCACAATTTTGATGAATTTTGAATTAGTTTATTACTTTTTATTTTTTTATAAATATTTGAATACTATAAAATTTATTATATTTAAAATTTAATTGGCAAACTGTAAACTTTGGAATATTTGAAGATTTTTTTAAAAATTGCAAAAAAGTGTAATATATATATATATATATATATATATATATATAATTAAAAATTCTTTAAGCGTTTGAATTATTTTATCTTTGTGCGTAGATCATGACTTACATTACGTGATGACAATTTTAAATAAAAAAAAACATTTCTTGTTTCTGAGAGGAAAATTATTTTATTACTTCAAAACACGTTTTTTTGTTTATATTCTAATTCATTGTTTTGTCCAAAAAATATGTCTAGAAATTATCCTATGATTGTTATATATTTTTATAAACATGTAAAATTATATAAAAAGTAACAATAATAGTTTGTAAACAACTGAAAACTTCTATGCTATGCATAATTATTTATATAATTATAATTATATAATTGGCGCTGTAACTCTTAAACGGCTGGACCTGCCTTTGCCAAAAACTAATCAGCACATCTCCCTATCGATAGGAATAGAATGTTTTTTGAATCATTCAGATCGGTTGATCCGTGCGCCAGAAATCGTCGAAATTTCGACGAGAAGTTAATGAGAAAGAATAAAGTACTACTTATGATAAAAAGAATTGCATTTTGTAATATTTCGTAGAAGCATCGATGGAATTATAAAAAAATTAAGTCATGATTCTTGCAAAAGACAACAGAGCAAAACGCAT